ATGCCATTTCAAAACATACCATTGTGAATCATATAGAGCTGCACAGGGTTGTCCTGCTTTCAGTTGTGCTATATTTAAAGTAGATGCAGTTTTAGCATATTGCGTCAAGCCAGCCATTATTGACTCGAGAGATTTTACTCCACTGTCAAGTTGCACAAAGAATTTTTTACACGATTCTACATAAGAAACGTACACAACTTCCTGGAAATCTTTTGTTAATCGTCTTAATTGTGGATACGAATATGTTATCGGCACCATTGCAGCTGGTTCTGGGAATGCTTTTTTCAATAGATCCTTTACATTAACACCATTGTCGTACAAGTCGCCATATTGAATCAACGGTGGTCCTTCTGGTGGACGGACATGTAGAATAAGTAATCTTCTGTACACTAGTTCCTTAAAATACTCTTTCATCTCTTGTGTGATAATTAATTCTTTTAAGCCGCTTAAGGTAAATCGAATAGAGAGCACCTTGGGATTAATATATTCAGGTGGCAATTGAAAAATATCTGTATACGGTAAAATTTCTGTATGACCAAAATCGACGTAATAGAGTTTACATTTATGTTCCATAACAGACATTACAACCGCCCGACATAGTACTCTCTCTCCTCCAGGATCCTTGTAGCGTCCCAAGCAAACTGATCCTGGTAATGGTGGTTCTTGCAATGGTTTTTTCGGATGATTGTTTATTTCAGTCATAAGACAAGTCAGTACATCTCTCGCACTTTCAACTTGTATAGAAAATTTTTGCGGGCCGTCTTCTACGTGCGATATGAACACATCATGACGTGAACCCACCTCTAATACTCGCGATTTAAACACGAGCGCTTCTTGAATGGGTGGTGGCGGCGGATGCTGCAGTATCGGTTGAGCAATATGTTTAGGTTGATTTACATTAGGAGAAAAAGTCTTGTGGTACATTCCTTGTACATTGGCATTATGATTTGGATTTTGCATCATTGGCATAGTTGCAAAGTTATTCACATTGCCCTTATTTTGTTGTTGATATGGTATTTGTTGAAGCATTCGTGATTGCGGTGTATGTTTTGGTCTAAATAATAAAGAATGATAAATTATTTAACAATACAAAAAGAAAGTAGTCTTTTATTTTCTGTAGGCCATATGAAATTTTGCATTTTTCATCAGCAATCTGAGTTTTAGAGTTTTAATGTTAGTTATACTTGGTTCTTATATTTAAATCCATCTTAAGAAATCATAAGACAATTAGAGTCACAGCCTTTTAGCCTTAAGACATTACTTGAAACTATCTTAAAATAAGAACCGACTAAATAATAGTCTTTGAATTTTAGTGCAGATTTTTATATTAATTTTACCAGATTGTATAGAAATCTAAAAAAAATTTTGCATACTTGTGGAAGTTTTTTGCTATCATAGAAATCAGATTGTATATTTACTTTTTTTTGTAGATTCAAATTTATTAAAAATATAATTTAAGCTAATAAGAATAAATCAGAAATTTCTATTTTCAATCAAAGCAGATCTTAGTATTTGATGTTCTCATATATAAAGCAAATATATTTTTTAATTAAATTGAAAAATGTATTTGCAAATATTTACATATAAATATTTTGAAGCAAGATGTTTTTCCATGCCGACGCTCGACACTTATTTTTGGCATCAAAATAAGTCACGTGATAGATTGATGAATATCAAGTTTCAATTTTGATCACGACCTTTTTTAATGCTTGAACGTTGATGAAAATCTTTCAGATCTAGTTTAACTGAAAATAGAAACTTTTTCTTTATTTGATTAAATTTATGAATTCATAATCAAAATATCTGTGCCTTTGAAGTTGCTGGCAGAAGATTAAAAATATATCTCATTAAACCTAAAAAAATTAATTATAAAGTTATACCTAAACATATCTTGCAAAGTGGCTGGTAAAGCCATACGTTCCTTGACCAACAACTCGCTGAAATCTTCATTGTTGTACCACAGTTTTATCAGGCAATGATTATTCATCATCTGAACCAATGCTCTGTATTCATTGTAACATAGACTCTTTTTAATTGACTCAATCGTTCTATTATCCCAAACGCCATTTACAGGCAATACATTAAGCAATGTAAATTCAGTTGCCATCGCTGGATAAGCTTGTAGAGGTTCTGCTCCACGTATATTATCCAAGAGATGAATATCGTTCAATGATAAAGCCTCCATGTTGCCATAGTCAATAAACTGTACAACAATCATGCCATCAGGCCGTACACTAACTATTTTTGCTCGATAGTAACCTTCGGTCCGAAATCTAGCACAGCATAATGATCCAACCATCAACCTATTAGTTTTAGATGGGCAGCCATATCCTTGATTAAACTGTTCTATCAGAGGAAATATATACTGCTCGATGGCAGTGGCTGCCTGTTTGTCCATCTGAGCCCATATCTTCAGGTATATGTCGTCAGGTTCCACATGAGTGATATAAACAACGAGTTCAGAAGTCGATTGCTGGCTCATGTTGACTCGCTCTGGCAACATTTTTTTTAGGTCAAATGACTTCTTATCCGTGTCAGTCTTCTGGATTGTACTTCTTGCTTCTATTTGGAGACTCCTGCAATATCGATATAGGCATAGTTAGTTCACAAGAAATAATACTATCTCTCCTTCGTTCGCAATATAGAGGGACGAATGTTTTGATACCGCGAGTATTGAATTACATCTCATGCTGATTATGCGCTGATTAGGTGCAATCTGTATAAATCTATATGGCTAAAAGACCATGCAAAAAATAATGTGGCAATCAAATATTCTCGTTTCGATTCGGACTGACAAAATCTCGAATCATTGACAACTCGACGCGATTTCGCCGTTCGTTGATTCGTCGTTTCTATCTCGTACATTTCAACGTTACCTATCATGTTTTCATGTCTTCCAAATGAAATTCGTGAGCACGTTCCACTTCATTCAGTCTCTGCTTCTTTCCCTCTTCTACCCGCTTTCGCTACCGAGACTCGAGAATCGGGCAACAATTATCGAAACAATCGTGTCCTTACTGTCGACCCTTTTAGCGAACGAAAAACGTTGGTGTTTACAACGCACACTCCAATCGACAATGCGGACACGTAACTTTTAACAGGAGAAAAAAAAATTCGCAAACGAACGGGACATGAAGCGCTCGAATGTTGTACAGTTACCTGAAATTCAATGCAGGTCTCGCATCGCTCTTTTTCAATCTATCTCGTCATCAATAATGTAAATCCGTTATTCCAAGCTATGAAAACGCGTTCTTTGAAAAACTAACCACTTTTGGCGCTTATCCTTTGTTTTAATGTGGACAATCTACGAATGGATTTTTCTTATGTCATCGTAAGTGTCAAGAGGGCGCTAAATTCAAACGGTTCGACAATCAATATCGAATATATAATTGTCATATAAATATATATATATATATATAT